TTTTGCTCTAGAGCCAGCAGTAGCTGAAATTATAGCCTCATTTGCCACACATTGTCCCTTACCCAGCCCCAATTGCACCTACTCATATCTATACAGTTCCCTGAACTAGATGAGTTAGTAGAATAGCTCGTCACATACAGGCCAGTGTGGGGTTGTCACATCACCATAGTAAAGAGTGACTTACCTGAGACCCTCTGACACACCCATATGCTCACTAGACATTCTCCTTTCTTTGGGTATCTTTGATTCAGTGGCTGGGGAAACATGCTGTGGGCTTCCAAGCCTCTCCAGGTAACTGCACTAGCACCTTGCTAAGTCCCTAGTTGCTGGCCTCTGTTCACACAGCTGTAGCCTTAGAAACATCAGACCAGTAACTGGGGAAGTGGTGAATAGAGGCCTAAGTCCCCAGCTGGTGGGAATCAGCATTGAAGCCAATGGAGCTATGCTGATTTACAGCAGCTGAAGAGCTGGTCAGAGTCTTTAGACCCCGGAAAGTGCCCATCTGTGTATTGTCCCAGATCCACAATGAGAGTGTTAAGCAGTTTATACAGCTTTGGCCCTCTGAGGACAGAGCAGGTATGAAGATCTGCTCTAAACTTTTCTCATAGCAAGGAACTGCAGCAGTTCTGCATGCTGATTTCTCCTCTCCATGGCCTGCTTTGGCTGTGCTGTGCTGAGAGGAGCAGTGGGGTGAGGGCAGGAGAGCTGTGAGCTAGGGAGGAGAAAGAAGGAGCTTTGGCTGCCTGCTCAGAAGCCGTGAGAGCAGCCAGCAGGGGCAACAAAGCTGGTGCCATGGCTCATTACCTGCCTGCAGCTCTGCTTAGAAGCAGGGGTGAAAGTAAGTCCAGTGACTTACTATGGGGCCAGCTCTGGCCCCCGGAAGGCGTGGGGCCTAGGGTGAAAAGGGCATTGCTGAGAGAGTCAGAGCCAGCCCACCCTGTAAGGTAAGTGCTCCCCCCCCCCCCAGGTAGCAGCAGCAGCAGCCTGGGGCTCCCCTGCTTCTACCATCCCGGCCCTGTAAATAGCCGCGGGAGCCCTGGGGAAGCAGCGGGGCTCCAGCGGCTATTTAAAGGACTGGGGTGGCAGAGGCAGCTGGAGCCCTGGACCCTTTAAATAGCCCCTGGAGCCCCCCCCCCACTATCCCAGGCTCCAGGGGCTATTTAAAGGGCCCGGAGCTCCCCTACTTCTACCGCCCCAGCCCTGTAAATAGCTGCCGGAGCTCCCCTACTTCTACCGTCCTGGCCCCGTAAATAGCCACCAGAGCCCCACCGCCACTACTCCAGGGCTCCGGCGGCTATTTACGGGGCCGGGACGGTAGAAGTAGGGGAGCTCTGGCAGCTATTTAAAGGGCTGGGGAAGTAGAAGCAGCGGGAGCCCTGGACTTTTTAAATAGCCCCCAGACCACCACAACCCTACCCCAGGGCTCCAGCAGTGGGGCTCTGGTGGCAATTTAAAGGGCCTGGGGCTCCAGCCCCTGCTGGGAGCCCCAGGCCCTTTAAATTGTCCCCTGGGGAAGCCGGGCCGCCCTGGTACGGCAAACCGGCTCTTGAGGTGGGGTGGCTCAGAGTGACAGCAGGGGCTAATGTCTCTCTGGGTGACCCTTGTTAGGCAAGAGGGAGGGGACAGTGGAGACCCCTTTTGCAGGAATAGCCCCTGCCAGGAGCTGTCTTTAATCAGCAGCCTTTCTAACTGCCTCCTCCGAACTGCTGGAAGGAATTTTACTCAGAATAAGCCACACACACCCCCACACACACTTGGGGTAGGTAATCCTTTCCGAGGCTGTGTTGGGCCCGCTACTGGTGGGGGGTGGAACTGGCAATGATCCCTGAAGCTACAGCAGCCATGCTTTCCATGACAGATGTTGGCCCATATGACTCACTCATGCTGCCTGTCCAGAAACTAAGGCCCTGAAGAGCTCTTAGGGTTACCCAGCTCAGCCTCCTCCCAACCCCACCCCTCAAAAGATGCCTCTAGCAGCTCATTTGAAGGGGATGAAGGGATTATATCACCCTATGTGCTGTTAATTTCAAGCTCCAGCCTCACACGCATTGAGAGCAGGGTCTGGGAAAGCTCACTTCACTTGTATATACAGCTTTCCCCCCACCCCCTTTCTTCCCCCTGACTTTCACACTGAACCCCAGTTCTGGAGTTAGCTGGAGCTTGTGGCTTTGGTGGATTCCCCCAGCACGGGCCATGGTAATTACCATTCATCGCTCCATACACACCCGAAAGGCAAACTACATGTTTCCGTGGCAACTATACCTTTTCTGAGTTGTAGGAGAGTGAGATTGAAATGTACAGAATGCGGTTTTGAAAGTGCTTAGTAAAGGCCCAGGGGAAACCTGTCAGTGGTAGTACAGAAAGCAGCAGATCTGGAAATGCCCAGAAGCTAAAAGCAACAGCTGAGAAATGAGACTAGTGGGGTTTCTAATTTCCAGGGGTCATCTCTACAGTCCAGGACCGTTCACCTGGCTCCCATGGAGTTCTGGGGCCTCTGGAGAGCCCACCAAAGGCTGGCTAGGAAGGGAGATCTTCAGTGTTAGCACTGAGGGAAAGGAAGGGGAATTTCCACCACAGTTAAAATGTGTCACCATGTGAAAAAAAAATGCACCTGTCTCTGGCTAGCGCTGGACAACGTAGCCTGAGTGGGACAAGGGCACTTTGAAGAGAAACACACCTCCCACCAGCAATTGGGTGGGGAGGCATAGCTCAGTGATTTGAGCATTGGCCTGCTAAACTCAGGGTTGTGAGTTCAGTCCTTGAGGGGGGCCATTTAGAGAACTGGGGTAAAAATCTGTCTGGGGATTGGTCCTGCTTTGAGCAGGGGGTTGGGCTAGATGACCTCCTGAGGTCCCTTCCAACCCTGATATTCTATGCATTGCTACCTCCCTTCAGGGCTGGTGCAAGGAAGTTTCACCTAGGGCGCGAAACTTCCACCTTGCGCCCCAGCCCTGTAGCAGCTCCCTGCCCCCCCTCCACCCTAAGGTGCCCCCCCGCTGCAGCTCCCCACCCCCTGGCCCAGGGAGCCGTGCGGCAGCGCGCTGACCCAGGGGTTCCCCTGGGCTGCCGGAGGTGGACTGACCCGGGGAACCCCTGGGCTGCCTGCTGGTGGCTCAGACTCCCTCTCCCTCCCAGCGCAGCGGCCACTGAAAAGAAAAAAAAATGGGGGTGCTGCTTTTTGGCACCCCCAAATCTTGGCCCCCTAGGCAACTGCCTAGTTCGCCTAAATGGTAGCACCGGCCCTGCCTCCCTTCCACAAAGGGTAGATCCACGGTAGCCAGCGCTTCTGGGTGAACTGGAGCATCCAATCATGATTTAAAGACTCCAAGAGAATTTACCACATGCTCTGGGAAGCTATTCCAATGACCCTCAAATAGACCCTAAGGGTATGTCTACACTGTGATAAAAAACCCATGGCTGGCCTGGGTCAGCTGACTCAGGCTTGGGCTGTGGGGCTATACAATTGCAGTGTAGACATTTTGGGGCTCAGGAGCCGGAGCCTTGAGATTCTGGGGGGAGGTCTCAGAGCCTGGGCTCAAGCCAGAAGGTCTACACTGCCATTTTTAGTCCTGTGAGCCTGAGTCAGCTGATCCAGGCCCTGAGACTCAGTGCTCCAGGGGTTTTTGTCACAGTATAGACATACCCTACTAGCCTTGGATCAGTTCACAGCCTTCAGACCTTAAGCCAGTGATTATCCCACACACGCTCCTCATCCCCTTCTGGGAGCATGCTAACTGCAATGGTTTAAAAATCACGACTCAGACCCTGCAAAAATTCTGTGTATTGTAACTGTATTGTGGCTTTGGCATGGCTTTTGATATTTGAAACCCTCCCCCCACCCATCCCTAGTGTGTGAGACAATTCATGTTGCCCACTCCCCCTGACTCATTGAGATGAGTTGTCCCCTGCTGCAGGAGCTCTCACCCCCACAGCTGCCCCTCCCCCACCCAGCAGCTAATTCTGCCCCCAGCCCCTAAATGAATCCTAGCCCCACATTAGTTGTGCCCCCCACCAATTCTGCCCCCCAGCCTCACCTTTGTTTCTCCTGTAGACCCTGGGTTTCTTCACTCCCACCCTATTCCAAACTGGGTATGGGGCTGCCGCAGGGTCCCCTCACTCCCTTCCAGGCTGGGTGTTGCGGGGAGGGGCAAAAGAACTATCTCCTCTTGCTTGGCAGGGGGAGGAAAGAAAAGGGGCCCCAAAGTGGGTGTGTTTCAGGGCCCAAGCAGCATAAAGGCATCTTAGTGTGAAGAGAATCATAACCCTTCTGTTCTCATTTACACCAGAGCAAAGGAGGTGTGAAAGGCTCCCAGTAGGGCAAGTGTTTAGAGGTGTCTTTATTGGGAATGGTTATGATTCCTAGGCATTCTTTCTATTTAAGAAACATTTCAATTCAGCATTATGAACTAGACACACCGAAACACAGGATGTTCATGTTCCAACTGACACAGCTGATTAACCCTTTGGGGTAGTGATTGAATGTGACTGGCTCACACCAGTCTTGGTGAGCTGGTACTTCCCCCTGTTGGCTGCATTGTGTGCTCCAGGATCTGAGCTTTTCTTCACAAGCAAATGATGTCTCACCCTTAAGACTGTGAAAAAAATCTTCACCTTGTGAACTGGCTGTAAACCCATGCAGTGCTGCCTATCTTAATCTGCTGGAAACAACAGGTCAAAGAATAGCGTGAACTACCCTTGTTCATGTCAATGTGCTAATTCTGGGGCCTAATGATGACCATTTAAATGTCACCATTGTAATTATTTCAGTGCTGATGAAAAGGATGCAAGGAAAGAGAGGGACAATCAGGCCAGGTCTACACTACAGACCTATATCAGTATAACTATGTCGGACAGAGGTGTGAAAAATCCACAGCCTTGAGCAGTACAGTTATACTGACTTAGCGCTGCCTACACGGGAGGTTTTGTCAACAGGAGAGTTCCTCCCATCGACACAGCTACCACCTCTTGGGAAGGTGGATTAACTACACCGATGGGAGAAGCTCTCCTGTCAGTACAGGAGTGTCTTCACTTAAGTGCTACAGCAGCGCAGCTGCACTAGTGCTGTATGTGAAGACAACCCTCATACTGTGAAAATTCTTCACAGTCACCTGTGAGTGGCATCTTATTTTGGCATCATGAGCAGACAGAGCTTAGTACAACCACTTTTTTCTGCCCCTCCACCTCTTTATGAAGCCTGCCTAGGAGTTTGTGAACATGAATATACTGTACTCCCTCCTAGGCATTTGTTTTGGCTGGAAGACACAGCTTTCCAAAGGTTACAATTAAATTATACAGAAGGATTTTAGCATGAAGAGACATGGAGCTGGAATTAGAGGACCCAAGACAACAGAGTTTAAACCAGGGTTGATTAACTTTACCAGCAGTTTAACAGAAAGCATATCATGATGCTCAACACCTGTCCTGGTGGGACTGTACCTTTAAGAGTAGAGAACGTTCTGCATCCAGCACTGAGAGGTGAAGGAAGAGGAGACAGGTACTGCATGGACCAAGGAGAGAGAGGGATGAGTGAAGAGATTTCTCTCCTGTGAAGAATTAGCTGTTGGACTCAAAATAATATTTAGTACTTAATTATCTTCAAAGCGCTTTGCCAGCATTAACTAAGTAACACGCAAAACACCCCTCTGAGGTAGGTTGGTGACTATTATTCTCCCCATCTTGCAGATCAGAACACTGAGGCAGAGGGATTAAATGAGTTGTCCGAGGTCACCAAAAGAATCCTATTCAGAGAACTCAGGTGCTCTCGGCTATTCTGATGTTGATGCCATCTGACAACAAATCCCCTATTGGTACATATTCCTCATTCCAGTCCTCAGGATAAACCTGAACTCAGGGGCCTCATAACGAGTGGCTTTATAGTGACGCTGTTAGGTTTAATTTAGATGGGAAATGTAGGTTTTTATAAAAAGAAGCTTATACAAAAACTTAAAACTAGGTGAAATGTTCCCATGTTGTTTTTAAAATTCCAAAAGAAGCAGTGTTTGAAAACCAAATCTTTCCCCACAGTGTAGACAACCCAAGGACTGTGGCGTTGTGCTAGAGCATGAGGATCTGAAAGAGAAAGTAACTAGGGGCTGATTATTAATAAAAGCAAAGCGCAATGGCCTCTTTTCATCATCAAAGCTGGAAACTGGGAGAAGAAAAACACAGAGCAAAACCAGAAGCAAGTAAACTAGACTCTTAAAATTATCAATGCACGGGGTTATTTCCAACATAGATGAGGGTGCATTTTAACTTGATGCATTTTAACTTGACAAGATGATGCATTTTAACTTCACAATGCCCCCTTGAGGCCTGAGAAGTTACAGTAGTAGCTGGTAGCAATATCTAGTAGTGAAGGGCATTTGCAAATACGGGGTGTCAGCAACTTGGATTGTGGGAAGCAGCAGCATAAGTTCAAAGCTTGCTTGTAAGGTTCATAATGATCAGGGAAAATAGGTCACCTGTGTGCATTGGACCAGTCAGGTCCTTGTCGAGTTCAGCCAATCAGAATAGCTGTAAATGTTAATATTCCCCATCAGTCCCCTCCCACTCTGTGCTGGTGACTTTTGTCAATAGCCTCCAAATGCTTAAAGTAGGCTGGGTTGTGAACCCAGAGAGCTCAGAGCAGGGGCTGAAGCAGGCTGGGCATTGGTTACATAAGTATTGGAACAAGCTGTTCAAGTCCTTACACTTTGTTACAAAATAATGGAATTCCATTGTCAGGAATTGACAGGCTCGGCCCTGCTTGGAGGCCATTTTAGGCCCTGGGGGTCGTCTTCCTCTTCCCTGCCTGAGACCTTTTTTTCCTCCCCAGGATTGGTTCATTGCTGGATGATTGAGGACGGATCTTCATTTCAGTGTAAGGGATGGAGAACAAATGGCCTTTCCATGGCGCCCAGTTGACCCCCTGGAAAGAGAACAAGGAATTCCCTTTATTAAGCATGTAAACCCTGGGTGGGGCACTGGGATACTAGAATACATAACTCAGATATTGGGAGGGTTGTTATTTATTTGGATTTCTACCATAATAAGAAGAGGGAGTCCCTACCAGCTCTCTGGACACCCCTAACACAAATTAATATACATAGAGTTGGTCACCCACCAGGATTGAACCCCCTACATGCATAACACATACAGAGACCTGTGTAAATAGATGTATTTTGTGTCATGCCCTGACACCAACAGACCAGGACCATTTCAGACAAGTTTCTAAGAAGGAGCCCATTTCTGAGCTGAGGTTTCCCTTGAGGAGCGTGTTATACTGCTAACAACTCCCCCTTTGAAAATTAGGACGTTCCAATTCAAACGTTCCTGCCCATTTGCAGCTGTAGCAGCATGGCATAAAGAGAGAGGTGGTTTCTCAGGGTATGTCTACACTGCAGCTGGGAGGTGTGATTCCCAGCCCCCAGAAAGACAGACTCACGCTAGCTCTGCTTGAGCTAGCAAGCTAAAAATAGCAGTGGGGGCATTGCAGCACCAGTAGAAGCTGAGGCTGGCCGCCAGAGTCCAAGCCCGCCTGCCCCTGCCGTCAGTCTAATCCCAGATGCCTAGTCCAAGCCATCGCCCGTGCCACAACACCCACACTGCTTCAGTGTAGACATAACTTCAAGTAGCAAGGTCCTGTGCCATCTGTGGCTTTATAGGTTAAAAGTGCCACTTTGAATTCAATTCTGAAACCAATGAGCAGCCAGCGCAGAACATGGGGCAGCAGTGACATGTGTTGCCACCACCTAATTAGGTGTGCCCCTGGCCTGAGCATCATGTATACAGTGCTTTTCATATGCAACTTGTCTGAGATAATGCCCCAGCCTTTTACCTCTAGAGACAAGGGTTCAAATCCTGGCTTAGATCATGAGAGAGGTTCCACTATTCATGCTGTCCTTGCTCTCTGGATAAACACAGGATTCCAGTCTCCCATGGCTGTCAATCCAGCACCTTTCAGTACCACTAAATTCACTGTTCAGTACTGTGATCAGCTAGCTAGTGGCAGTGTGTCTGCAGCTGTGTTTCAAAGGATGGAACTGGAACCACTCAGTGCGCATGTGTCTGTCTGTCTCATAGGCCCTATACCGATTACTATAAATGGACACTCGTTTAGTTCAAGCAGTAGGCTCTGTGCTGTCTGGGCTGAATGCTGCGAGTTCCATCCCTGCAGTCACTCTGAAGTTACAGGTGGCCATAGTGGGTACCCTAGTAACGACTGTGAGGTTCCTGTGCTGCCATGGGTTGATTACAATACAGCCTTTTTAAAGGGAAGACGTATGCCTGATCTGTAACCATTGGATGAGTCTGGACAGCCCTTCCTGACTTGAGGCACCATCTGAGCTGTCCAGCGTCACCCGTGTCCCTGAAGCTGGTGAGAAGAAGCACACATGTTGCAGAACCCTGGCACTTGCCTCACTGTGCTTGTTTTCTCCATATTTGCCATTGAGGTTAGCTAAGTGACAGTTCTTGTACCACCAGGCGCCATGGTGCGACCTTGCACAATTGCTCAGAGCCACATCGTTGTCCCTGTCCCAGGTGGTGAATTTCCAGCCATTGTGGTAAGTCAGCGCATCCCCTAAAAGAGGGGAGAAGGAGATGTTAGGCACAGCAATCTGGGGGTGCCACTATCAGACTGTTGGGCGGGGGTGCTAGGAGAGTGCAGTTCCACAAAGTTGGAGATCCCCAGAGGGTGGGAGTGAGGGTTGGAAGGGATGGCGGGGTAGGTGGTAAATGGGGCAGGTGAGAGGATTGGAAGCCAAGGGCACAGGCATCATCATGGCAAGAAATACCTGGAGTACAGATGGCAAAGGCCATTATATCATCAGGATGGGAAGTAATGCTGGGCGAACTCCCAAGGAGTCTAAATTCCAGTTCAGTTGAGGATCAAGTTGCCATTCCTCCCCACACAACCCTCTTTCTTCTCCCCACCTCCCAATGTTGTCTTCTTTGATTGGGAATGCCCAACAGCCCCTCCAATGTCTTCACAGGCTCATCTGCTGGAACCACTCCCTACTCTGGATTCTTCAGCAGGTGGCCTGCTGGGCCTGCTCCCCGAATCCAGTCTGAGGACAGTTCCGTGGGCCTCCTCCCTCTTCTCTGCCTCTTTATCCAGTGACAGGTGAGCCACACCTAGTCCCCCCCCTTCTCAGGAGATGGCTTGGCGGGCCCACTCCTGAGGTCCAGCCAGAAATTCCAATGTATATTGCTCTCCTTAGAGAAGCACCAGGAAGCAACCTGGCTTATGGGACTTCTAATGCATCCCAGTCTATTCCAACCCACATGCTGATGGGGAAACAAGTGTCCCAGATTCCAGTGCTTGCTTCCATTATGTGAGACTGAAGAAGCAAGGATAGAAAGCATTCCTTACCGGCAGTGCCTTGGTAATTCCCCACAGAGAGCCTGTACTTATCCTTGCTTGAAGCCACCTGGAAGAAGTCATAAACAGCATAGGCAGAGTCATTGGAGGTTTGCAAATCCACCCGGATCTCATATTGGATGGGAGTACTGCTAGTGAGGTTGTGCAGCTTGTCAAGACCTGGGAGAAGAATCCAAGGTAATTATTCTATAGAGGGAAAACCAATGTCAAAATTCATTCTCTTTCTCTGTTCCAAGGTTCTTCTTGCCACATTTAAATCAGTGGTTAAATCAGTGGTTTGCTCCTTCTCATCCCACCTTCTCCCCCTATTTGATCCCGAAGTTACATCATACTGATAAGGATGAGTTTGCACCATCACACGCAGCTTCATGGCAGCAGAGAGTGACATCAGAAACATAGGAATCTGATGTCACTGCTAGATCAAGGAGAATAATCCAAACTCTGAAGGAACATTCACTATCTCTAAGCAAATCTAAAGACCCCAACCACTGTCGTATCTAGGTGCTGAATTCGCCAATCTAAGCAGAGTCAGCTGAAACAGCAGGAAAGGAGACACAGAAAATGACTTGCCAAGTACAGTACTTTTTGTTCCTATTCTTCATGTTTCAGCGAATGCCACATTCTCCTTTAAATCAGTGCACTAATATCTTGTGACTCCTCTCCTGGTACAGGATCACAAAACCCCTGAACTGAACCTCTTCTGAGGTACAGAAAACATTGGTTCACTCTGAGTGACAGCCCGATGAAGTTCAGTGGGCACTGGATTTGATTCATTTGCCTATGCACTTCCAAACAAGAGCAGAAGCAGACAAGCCCAGGGCTGTACCCATGATATTTCCAACCTGACTGCAGACCTGAGAAGTTTGCATATTTCAGATAAGCATCAAAATGCCAGCCAGCCTCTACAAAGCCTGTCTTTAACTGTCCACCCTTCACCTGTCACATACAGATACAGTACCAAGCCAAAATTCCCCCAGGGGATCTCCAAAGCCTTCGACATAATTCCTCCAGCGCTTGTAGAAATCCAGCTGCCCTGTGTTCCGCCTCTGAAACACCTGCAAAACAAGCACTGCTGAATGAATCATGAACAATTGGGTAAATTATCCTCATTTTCTGTGTGTGGAATATTCACTAGCAGATGGCAATTTCCTCCCATTTCTCCATGATTCCAATCTGTCCACAAAGAAGGGGCGTTAATGAGTGTTCAAAATTCAAGCGGTTGGAAAAATGGAATTGGCCAGGTGATTTCACATGCTTTTTTTTAATGTTCCCTGATTGGATAAGCACACAAGCTCTTCCAATGCATACACTTGCGACTAGAAATTTAAAATTTGCTTTACACAAATGTTTGCCCTATTATAACTCAAATCACACTCATGTTTATGGATAGTGAGGATAAAAGGAACACAAACCTCCCAAATGTGGTATAAACACCTACATAAACAGGAACTAGCTATACAACAGGACCAACCAGAACTTTTTTTTTTACATGTGAATGAATATTCATGGGAAATTGTTTGCATTATTCAGCCTTCACTAAAATAAAAACGTAAAAAATAAAAAGAGAGAGATGAAGATAATCTTACTCTAGTGGAGAATGGGAGAGACACTGCACAGAGAGACACTCCCAGAATCACACAGTTTTATGCTCCTGCCCTTAGGTCATGGTTTCTGTGCTGTGGCCAGCAGTCCACTAGGAACTGGACTCAAGACTGCTTGTTCATTTCACATGAGCCACTATGCAGTTATCAGGTAGTAAGGAAATTCAGTCACTAACACCTTTGGCCTGACTGGAATAAGGGACCAACCAGTGAAATACTTTATATCTCAATGAACCTGACCCAGTCCCCAACCACCACACCTGTGATTGGCGTTTCCCCCACATCAATCCCAAAAGGGTTAAGGAAGCTGAGAAAGGGCCCGATAGTGAGATAGGCCACATGAGGGGATTAGGCTGGAGAAGCAACTCCTGATTGGAAGATGGAGCTCAGCTGAGCAGATGCGGGGCTGGGCTGGACTAATACAAAGCCAGGAAGCTGGCAACAGAAATGGCTGCAGTGAGGAAGTCTGCATCCACCCTCTGTGTATTAGAGAGGGAAGGAGGGAGGCCAGGGAAAGAGTGGGACCCTGGCCCTTAGGGAAGGGCGTACCCGGGAGAGAAAAGGGTGGAGAAGAAAGCCTATTGGAGGCAGAGTAGGAAGCATCCTAGGGAGAAAGCAGCAAGATTGAACACTGAGCAGACTTTGGCTAAGTGTTGCAGGAGCCCTTGACTGGAACCTGAAGTAGTGGGTGGCCCCGGGTTCCCCTACCTGCCACTGACAGAGTGGCAGTGTCTGCACAGCAGGCCTAGTGAGACTTCTTACCCCAGAAGGGAAAACCACATAATGATCTGGCCAGAGGGCTGAGTCCTGAAGACAAAGCTGCAGCTCCCGGAGCAAGAGGTGGGCTGCAGAGTGAGCGAGAGAACAATGGAGAGAGAGAGACTACAAAAGGAGGAGTTGGACCTGGAAGAGAGCTAATCCCCAGAACAGCCAGGAGGAGGCGCCACCTGCAGTGAGTAGAGCATGCCATGACACCACAACTGGCATCCTCGTTGGCAGTCTCAGCAGAGGCCAAGGACTGAACAGGCATACAGGCAACTATCCCTTTGCCCCTAAAGATGGTACTTCCCAGGCAAGAGTTGAGAAACACAGATGTGGAGCTGCAGAGTAAGAAGAGGGATACTTCCAGTGCTGCCCATGCCATGCCTGTGCTGGCCATAAACAGAAGATTTCAGTCTCCAGGGATGTCAGCGCAGCATTAGAGTCACTTGATTTTTTTAAAAAGTAAACAGCTGTGCAAAGACCCCAGCACCACTCACTATCCATCCACCTCCGTCGGTGGTCATGTCGCAGTACACCTGCATGGGCCTGCCAGCATCACCATTCAAGTAGATCATGTACATGCCACTGGTGGCATTCCCATTTTGCTGGGTCTGGCTGCAGTCAGCAGGATATGGGTAGAGGAAGGCAACTGTGGGAACAAGACAGGGAAAAACTCACATCAGCAAGTCTGAAAAGGAAGCTGGAGAGGCGTTCCCAACTGAGTCTCCTGAAGAGGATGTGGTTTGAACAGGGGCACAGGAACAATGACAGCCTTAGGCTTATGGGATCATATAGAGTCCTGCACCATATGCACACCCCCAGGCACCTACCAGCTGGAGCACAAACCTGGATGCCCTGGGTCCTGCCATGCTCTGGTAAAGACTGCCCTCCACCTAAGCTGCATATTAGCTTTACCTGGCCCATGAATAGGGTCACTGGAAGCTGCAGGAGGCAGCCTGGTCCTTGAGAGGGTCTCAGAAAGCAGGATTTTTCTAGGGATGGTGGAGTCATAGATGTGTAGTAAGTACTGGCTCTCAATGGAGAGGGAGCTCACTAATCTCTCCCCACATGCACCATTTGTCCACAATGGGCAATGCCTTCCCCAATAGGACAAACTCCTGCATCACAGTGGCATGAAAGGCACCTTAACAGGATGCCATTTTGATGCAAGTTTCCTGGACCCTGTTAGTGAATTTGGGCACCTCTTGAATGCCACAAGCAGTGCTTGCAAGATACGAGTTGCCCCCATGCTACTGGGATGATGCAAACAGATCCAGAGTTGGTGATCGACTTCCCTACTTCCAATCAGCTTTTCACAATCAGTCTATCTACTATACTCAACTGGTAGGCTCTGTCAGCAACATCATCCAGACAGATCTGAATCTCCATATAAGCCATCCCACTGTGTCACTTCATGCTCTTCCCCCACTGCATCTCCAACCTGCCATACAGCCTGGCCCAGGGCACTGGACTGGAAGTCAGGAGATCTGTGTTCTATTCACAACTCACTGACTTACTGAATGACCTTTGATAAATCATTTAATCTCTCTGGGCCTCTGTAAAGTGGAACCATCACCACTAACCCTTAACTGCGAAATGCTACAGATGAGATGTGCTAAGTATTATTAGTGCCAAGCCCTACCTGTCAAGAAGGTGTTGGCTGCCTTTCTGCTCCGGCGGTCACCCTTAAAGGCCACCATGTAGACTGTGTACCTCACTCCTTGTCCCAGGCCTTCCAGTATGAACCTTTGCTCATTAGGACCCAGTTGCACTTCCTGCCAAAAAAAGAAAAGATAGACTAACGATCTGCCAAGCTCCATAGTCTGCGTCATCTATTCCCAGCCATACTGCTTCTATTCTCTGCATGCTTTTGGAAGTGAGCAGGGCACAGTCAGAAGAATACTCGTAGCAGGGTGTACCCCATAAATACAGGGCCATCTGCATATTAGTGGGTAGGTTGAGGATTCCCTGTCCCTGGAATGAGGATTTGGGGGAAAAAGTGAACTTGCACAGACCCTACAGATAACTGTATCCACAGGGAATAGACTGTATGCACATTCGCGAATGAGATACCTCACTTGCATGGAGCCCTCCGACACGTATAAACACATTGGAAAAGCAAAGTTAAAAACACATCTTCTATTGTGTGAAGGATCTGCCCAATCCACAACACCCAGCAGCAGTCACAGTGGTATGTGCCATCCAGCAGGGCACCAGCTTCTCCCAACAAGTGTAATTAAGATGGAATATTCCACTCCCCGAGACACCTTCCCACTTAAATTCTAAGGTTGTGCATGTGTTCTTGATAATGGGATCTGATTGGCTAAACCCAACATCCCATGTGCACTTTAAACTGGGGCAGTTTGTAACAAGAAGGAATTGAAGAGCTCACAGTACCTTGCTGGTGCCATCTGGAGCCTGGTAGGTCAGAGTGTAGCCACTGATCTGTGCAGCAGGTGGTGTCCAGGTAACTACGCCACTGGACTGTGTCACATCTGATACACGGAGGTTCTTGGGAGGGTCAATTTCTATTTAAAAAAAAAGCAGAGAACAGAATCAAACTCTCTGATTGTACAAGTACCTCTGAGAAGAAGCAACCCATAGAGTGAATCTTTAGCATAGGGCATGGAGGTATAGAGCTTTTAGTTTCCAGTATTATTAACTGGGACTCTGCAACTACAGAAACTATATTTCATGGTTAACAAGGAGGAATGTGTGAGGTACATTAGCAATGTGTTGGGGCCCAGAACTAGTAAAGACTGCTGCAGATCAGGCTTCAGATGCACTGGCACGGGAGCTGAAATGGAAATAGCATGGGGTATTGTAGGTCAGACATGAGGTGGCACCCTGGACTGAAATAGCATAGGGTAATACCGAGTGAAGACGGGATTGCATTGGCAGAGTTGTGAGGGCATCCAGAGCTGGAATACCTGATGATCTGAATTTGTGTTCACTGGCAGAACTACATGGGATAAGCTCACACAATATGTGCCTGCACCCAGAGGCAAAACCAAGCTCATCTTCAGCCAGTGTTACCTGTCCCACATGTTTATGATCACCAAAATACACCCCTCTTTCCTTAAAAACGAGCTAACCAGCCTGAAAGCAAATACGTATTTCTCACTTCTAAAGACTGAGGAGTTAAGGTTCGGTATAAGGGATTGGGGCATAGGTGCTCTGGCCTAGCTGTCATGGCTGGGCGGGTGGCCACCAGTCAAGGATGGCCATGAGGCAGAATCAGCAAGCAGGGCTCAAAGTAAGCACTAGAGCCAAGATTGATAAGGAAGGGTCAGGGTCAGAGTCAGCCCAGGGTCAGAGACCCGAGATTGGATGTAGCTATCAGGCTGGAATCAGGTGGCAAGAATCAGGTTAGGGCTGGAGGTCCGAGCTCAGAGATCGTTACAAGACTAGAATCAGGAGACCAGAGTAAGGCTCAAAGTAAGGCTGAGGTCAGAGACTGGAGATCAGAAAGCGAGGTGAGGTCTGGAGTTACAGCAGGCCAGAGATCAGTGTGGTTGTCCAGACAACTTCCTGGAGCACCCTCTAGGATTAAATAGTGAACATGGGCCAATCAGAAGGCCGCAGGGGGCTGTTGGTCTGGATCCTTTGGGTGGTACTTCCTGCAGTGCCTAATCTCCACAGTGCCCCTTGAATGTGGCTCTGTATGGCCACCTCCTGGCGATGTGGGAACGGACTCCACAAACCCAGATTCTAGTCCCACAGATCCTTACAGTCATGGTGCAGACATATGAATTACCTCTTTCTCCAGAGGTAAACACTGCAACACACTTGGGGTCTCCTCCCCAAACCTGGCAGCTTTGCATTAACAATTTATAAACACATAATCCATCCATGGCAAAGCGGCTCCCTTTGCAGGCACCGGAAACATTTTATTTTAATATGTTTGCTTATTTTAACAATTTACAAGTACAAAATAACCTACATCTCTATGGTTCTGGTCTCTGGTATTTTGTGTGATCCAGACCACCTCCACGAACAGCAAAGACTAAGTCTTACATTCAAATATTTGTGTGGTTGTTTCCTGAGTGTGAAGAGCACGCTGGCTTTATTTTTAACCAATACCATTTCACGGTGATCATAAATAGCCTCTGATATTGTTTTATACTGGACATACAAGCATAAACGGTACAAGGCATCCTTTACGACCAGGGTGGTTTCTGACACTTGTTCTGTAGAATGATCCCCTCCTAGCTCCTGAGAAAATTTTTCAATAACAGAAGTGGAGGCAGCCGCTGAAGAATCCATCCCAGTTTTCAAATCAATGCTTGGTGCATTCTGGGATAGGGCTCTTTGGAAACCTGTTGTTAACTTCACAAAGGCCTTCATCCATTCGGTCCCTCCCTGCTTCAATCTGAGGGTGTCAGATGGGTAGTGCTGGTATTCAGGAAAGAGCACCAACTATTGACATGGGAGCCTATGCGCGCGCACGCACACACACACACACACACACACACACACACACTCGCTTACGTAAGGCAGAACTATTGACACAGGACCCTATGTACACATGCATACACACACACACACACACACGTATGGCAGAGCATCATGGAGCTTGCAGAAATACTCAGCTCAATTCCCTGCTCCATAACAGGCTTCCTGTGTAACCTGGGGCAAGTTACTTACTCTTTGTGCCTCGGTTCCCCATCCGTCAATGGGGCTGCCCTCCCTCACAGGGTGTTGTGAGGATAGATAAATCCATTAAAGACTGTGAAGCACTCCAATACTAGAGTAATGGGGGCCATATAAGTACCTAAGTTTGACAGATGGAAAGAGTGGAGCAGCAGTGGCTTGAACACAGGGTTGGGAGGCAGGAACACCTTCATTCTCTTATGTTTAGAGAGTTTTTGTTTCATAAAATAGAAACAGAGAAGATATCTACACAGACAAAGATCCCTTATCAGGTGAGAGAGGAGGGAACTAGTACATCAAAGCGCACATAAGGAACTATTAACTGTGAATGAAACGCCATATATTCAATGAGCTGTTATTACCATTAATTAAAGTAACTATTTACAGAACTCCTGAGGTTAAGAAAAAAATCCATTTTTATTATGCATGGAAGCAGAAATCCTCTCAGATTAGTACTGTGGAAGCTTGGACAGCAGAGGGAGCTATAGGGTATTGGAATCCACTGTCCTATTCCAGTGATACTGCTGTCAGCATTACCTGTGCTCTTCCAATCAATTCACAGTGCTACTGTTAAGGGTCTGAGCTGCAGGGGGCTGTTACAACTTGGACACCAACAAAAAACTGCCTCTTGGCCTAAAAACTTTCTATACAAGGTCTCTGCTACAAGCCTATTATTTTAATCATTGGGAATTCGTAGCTGTTGTCTTGAGTAAGATTTTAAAGGTATTAGCAGAGCAGGTTGAGAATTTTCTGGCATTGGAAAATGCCATTTGGTTGAAATCGACATGTTTTGCAAGAATGTATCAATTTCAACTAAATTTTATTTAGGAAAAAAGTCAAAATGTTTTGATTTTTCATTTTGAATTTTTTTAAACAAATGTGCAGCACTGGGGGAAAGCCGACAGGTGCGGGGCAGTATGTGGTTTGGACAGAGACATCCCTTAGGGGAGGATCTATTAATGGAGATTCTCTATGTCCTAAGTAAGGAGAAGAGGATGGAAGATGATAAAATACAGGAAGGATCGGATGAGAAAGAGTCAAATGAAAAAAAGTCCCATTCAATTACATCATATAACGACAGACAGCTAAAAAGTGACAAGTTTTTTAAGCGCTTATATACCAATGCTAGGAGTCTAAATAATAAGATGGGTGAACTAGAGTGCCTCGTATTATATGAAGATATTGATATAATAGGCACATCACAGAAACTTGGTGGAATGAGGATAATCAGTGGTACACAGTAATACCAGGATACAAAATATATCGGAAGGACAGAACAGGTCGTGCTGGTGGGGGAGTGGAACTATATGTGAAAGAAAGCGTAGAATCAAATAAAGTAAAGATCTTAAATGAACCAAACTGTACCATAGAATCTCTATGGATAGTAATTCCATGCTCTAATAATAAGAATATAGCAGTAGGGATATATTACCGACCACCTGACCAAGACAGTGATGGTGACTGTGAAAGGCTATTAAAATAAAAAAAAAAATCAGTACTAATGGGGGACTTCAACTATCCCCATATTGACTGGGTACATGTTACCTCAGGACAGAATTCATAGATAAAGTTTCTTGACACCTTAAATGGCTGCTTCTTGGAGCAGCTAGTCCTGGAACCCACAAGAGGAGAGGCAATTCTTGATTTAGTCCTAAGTGGAGCACAGGATCAGGTCCAAGAGGTGAATATAGCTGGAGCGCTTGGTAATAGTGACCATAATATAATTAAATTTAACATCCCTGTGGCAGGGAAAACACCACAGCAGCCCAACATTGTAGCATTTAATTTCAGAAAGGGGAACTACACAAAAATGAGGAGGTTAATTAAACAGAAATTAAAAGGTACAGCACAAAAAGTAAAATCCCTGCCAGCTGCATGGAAACTTTTTAAAGACACCATAATAGAGGCTCAACTTAAATGTATTTCCCAAATTAAAAAACATAGTAAGAAAACCAAAAAAGTGCCACCGTGGCTAAACAACAAAGTAAAAGAAGCAGTGAGAGGCAAAAAGGCATCCTTTAAAAAGTGGAAGTTAAATCCTAGTGAGGAAAATAGAAAGGAGCATAAACTCTGGCAAATGAAGTGTAAAAATATAATTAGGAAGGCCAAAAAAGAATTTGAAGAACAGCTAGCCAGAGACTCAAAAAGTAATAGCATAAAAAATGTAAGTACATCAGAAAGCAGGAAGCCTGCTAAACAACCAGTGGGGCCACTGGATGATCAAGATGCTAAAGCAAGGACGATCAGGCCATTGCGGAGAAACTAAATGAATTCTTTGCATCGGTCTTCATGGCTGAGGATGTGAGGGAGATTCCCAAACCTGAGCCATTCTTTTTAGGTGACAAATCTGAGGAATTGTCCCAGATTGAGGTGTCATTAGAGGAGGTTTTGGAACAAATTGATAAAATTAAACAGTAATAAGTCACCAGGACTAGATGGTATTCACCCAAGAGTGCAGAACTACTAACTGTAGTCTGTAACCTATCATTTAAATCAGCTTCTGTACCAAATGGCTGGAGGATAGCTAATGTGATGCCAATTTTTAAAAAGGACTCTAGAGGTGATCCTGGCAATTATAGGCCAGTAAGCCTGACTTCAGTACCAGGCAAACTGGTGGAAACAAAGAACAAAATTGTCAGACACATAGATGAACATAATTTGTTGGGGAAGAGTCAACATGGTCTCTGTAAAGGGAAATCATGCCTCATCAATCAACTAGAATTCTTTGAGGGGGGTCAACAAGCATGTGGACAAGGGGGATCCAATGGATATAGTGTACTTAGATTTTCAGAAAAGCCTTTGACAAGATCCCTCACCAAAGGCTCTGAAGCAAAGTAAGCTGTCATGGAATAAAAAGGAAGGTCCTCTCATGGAT